CTCTCTCTCATAAATGAACACTTGATGAATTACACTTTTCTGAGAATAGAATATTGAAGTGGAGATCGCTAAACTGCAAGCTAACCAGTGTTTTCAGAAAGCAAGCGCGTTTATCCACAGTGGAGAGAGTGTGCGTACACATGGTTGCCAGGTTGACAAAGATAAGTAGCACATTTAGCAGATATTTCCGTATTGCGCAAGTGGGAAACTCTGTTTTGGGGATTACGTCTCTTTATATCAGGCAACCCCGGTTGTGTTCCCCTGCGGCCAGATTAAACCTTGTTGTAGCCTATATATTATGCTCTATTCATTATTTTTTAGAAATCTTGCACTTTTCTACTCCGTTTTAAACGTTGTTCTTGTATTCAAATTAAGCGCGGTCCACTGCTGCACACGTGCCACAATATCAATATTGGTACAGCTGTATCAATACTCGTATCTTCAAATCTCTGTGACGATACATCGTCGTATCGATGTATCGAACACAGCACTAGGGTTGATAAGGAGCATTTTTAACTCCTTAAAACAAAATAAAGATGACAAAATAATATAAAAAAAGATACATTTCCCAGGAAAACAGATCAAATCAGGGCAAATACATTTAAGAGAATTACCAAACATAAATGTCCAGGTAGACACCAGCCTATGTCAAAACAGCAATCAAGAAATTAACCGATATCCTTTAAAAAACACATGCTTCATTTTCAGTGTCAACAGTCAGAATAAGCCCATTTAATTGGAAAAAGTGCCCAGTATAAGTGATTGGAAGCAATTAGCAGGTATTTCACACTCATTCATGCACACACCATGACAGTCAAAACTGTGTCATTGATACTGTTACTGCAACATAATCTGATAACAAAAAATTAACAACAATAATGGGATTAACAACTTGTTGCTAGGAGATGCGTGACAAATTAAAAATGTGTTTTAAAATCATGCACTATGCGATTGTCTATCAAATCTGCAGATTGGCACTGTCTTTCGGCAACTAGTGTCAACTTGTCCAGATAGGGGGAAATCGGGTCAAACATCTGGTAGTTTATTCCAGCCCTTGGTGTGCTGTATCTTTTCTAACTGATTAGACTTACTGTTTTCCTAAAAATTAAGATTAAAAATCATAAAAATCCCATAGATTTACATTGACGGAATGTTCAGATGAGCCAAGATTGATCAAATTCCAATTGTCAAAATTCAAATCTAAACACACGAAGCCCATTACACTCAATTAAGCAGCCATTCTATGTACTATTTCTAATCCATTTAAACTCATTTAAGCTTCCATTGTGCCTAATATCTATCTATCTATCTATCTATCTATCTATCTATCATCTATCTATCTATCTATCTATCTATCTATCTATCTATCTAGTCTATCTGTCTGTCACATAACAACCTCCCAGAACAACCTAACAACCACCCTGAGTACCCTAGCAACCGCATAGCAACACCCTAGCAACCACCCCAAGTACCCTAGCAACCGCATAGCAGAACCCTAGCAACCACCCCAAGTACCCTAGCAAGCACATAGCAACACCCTAGCAACCATCCAGAATACCTTAGCAACCACATATCAACACCCTAGCAACTACCCAAAATAACCTAGAAACTGCATAACAACAGCCTAGCAACTACTCTGAGAGTATCTATCTATCTATCTATCTATCTATCTATCTATCTGTCTGTCTATATTTTTCTGATACTGCATTGCCTTCAAAACATTAAAACTTTAATCTTTAAAACTACAATTTTTTTTAAAACATTTAAAACGGTTTCAAACTGTCTGGTCTGGCTTTCTCAAGCCAACTTCAAAGTTTGTCTTGACAAACTTTTTTATTTAGTTATTCTTTGTTAACATTAGTTAATAAAAATATAAATGTTCACTCTGTTAGTTCATGTTAGCTCAGGTCCATTAAATAATACTAACTGATACACCTTTTGATTTTAATAATGTATTAGTAAATGTTCCCTCCAGGAATTGAGTTTGACACCCCTTCAATAGAGGTATTTTTTAATTGTTAGCTCATGCTAACTAATGTAGCTAACTAACATTAACTAAAGGAGCCACATTGTAAAGTGTTACCGATTTATTTAACTTCATTATCTTATTATTACGAACATGCTCAATAGAATAATATTTTAAGTTGCCTGTTATAAACCAGTTATTTGTGGTTCAGACCTGCAGATGTAGTTGGTCTTGCAGGACGCTTGCAGTGTCAGGCAGTTGGGCTTCTCCTTGTCCTCATATGAACAGGCTGGTACGATGGTCTGGCGTCTGCGCTCAGAACAGGCCAACTGATCCCCCAGAGGACAGGAGCAGAAGAGCATGCCGTAGCTGTGCTTGGGCGGCACCTTGTCGAAGAACTGCCGCAGGGCCTTGTGGCACTTCCGTTTGTTGCAGACTTCAGCTGTTGATACTCGGCTCGTGCAGGGGCTTATGTAAGCCGAACGGTATTTCTTACAGGTGTCGTTTAGGTTGCAAGCCTTCGCTGCATTCAGGCAGTTGTTCTCCTTTGCTAGTGCTGGCTCACCTGCAAAGACAAAGATGCAGAGTATAAAAGACAATATAACTAATATGACCACAGATACACTCTGCATGTCAATCATTTTTTGGAGAGAGGGTGTTTGGTTGAAATGAAATTAGCAGCTAAAACCAGCTAAAATTGCTTTAAATCTATATAAGGAAAAAATGAATAAATTGACAAAAAATGTAGCAAAAAAAAAAAAGATAAAAATGAAATTAATTAAAAAGAAAGGTAAAGAACAAAGACAGAAAAACAAAGAGTCTGATACAATCCACAGCTCTGAAACCCTTGCTCCACAAAAAAATCTTTTATTTGAATACCCTACGGCACTGTGACAGGCATGTCAATTAATCATCCCTGTTTCTGCAGGTCTGCCAAAACACAGAGGCGGTTTATAAGGAACCTGTTTTTTGTTTTGGGTTGTTTTTTATGTTAAACGAAACAGTGCTCATCCCTTTGGATCCCTGCAGCCTAAACAAACAGTCATCTTGGCCGAACAGGGGAGTCATCAAAGCGGCCGGCACGGCTCTAATCTCGCCTGTCAGCTGCGGCTAATTGCTGGCTTTCTAACACATTACACAATTAACTAACATTTCTGGAGACTTGCTGAGCTACAGCAGCAGTTTGGCCTATAATGAGAGCCAATTAAAAACAAGAGATGGGTTGCATTAGAGTGAGGGTGGAGCATACATGTGCATGTGTTTTTCTGTGTGCGTGTGTCTATGTGTGTTTAAAGACAGCGCTAATAAGATGGTTGTTTTTAAGGAAGCCTGAGAGGAAACTGTATCCTCAAAGCCTCTAGCAGTGGGAGGTGATGTCATTCGGATATGTAAGTCAAGTTGGATCAGACTAAGGCTAAAAATAGGTGTATGAAACACCTTGAGCGGCCTTTCCACTATCTCTGACATTTGTGTAAGATTGTTGCATTTAGCTGGCTAGTGGCAGTTAGATGAGAGTTTGAAATTGCTTGTGAAGCAGCAGTTTTCCTCCACTAGGTAAAATGACCGAATAATGAATTTATGAATATACCCCCTCAAAGTCAATGACCGCCAATATGTCTGAAAGAGAAACATAGTAGGTTTTCTAGTGCTAATCATATAATTATTCATATCAACCCACTTTACAGAAATAATAATTATTAATTCCTTGTGTTCATAGTTTTTTATTAGAATACATCACATTGGGTCGTGCAGTTGCATACAGTCTAGCTGCAAAAATTCTAATATTCCGCACCCAAAGTTTAAATTGATTCCAAAAATTCTGCATACGCATATGACTGGAACTTCTTGCAGCTCCTGTAGTGCTCTCTATTAGAAATGAATGACTTCCGGACTGTCGTTTGTCATACAGTGAAAAGAAGGCTAGAAGTCGTCAGGAAATCAACCCTATTTACTTCCATAATGTATTTGTGCTCAATTCAAAGCAAAATGTCTTTTAACAAAACGTATAAAAACTTCTGCTTCAGAAATGTCTCAGCTATTATCACAAATCCATTTAACTTTTTTAATCCTTCCTCTTCAACCACCTTTTTGTGGTACATAGCTTTTCAATGCAGTGTGTTACTGATAATGCTGCACAATGATATGTAGAACAACTGAGATCAGTGCTCAGTGATGACTGTATCTCTACCAAGTAAATGTCAGTTTGTGCTGAAGACAGTAGCAGATACTGTGCACTACCATTCAAAAGTTTGGGGTCAGTAACATTTTATTAGAATAAAAATAAATTAATTTTACATTAATACTTACATTCATCAAAGAAAAAAAAGTCTAGTTGAACAAAATATTAGGCAGCGGAACTGTTTTCAGCATTGAAAGTAAGAAATGTTTATTGGGACAAAATCAGCTTATTAGAATAATTCAGCTTTTCCATCACAGCAATAAATTACATTTAAAAATAGATTAAAGTAGAAAAAAAAGTTTTTTTAAATTGCAAAAAAAAAAAAATACTGTTTTTACATATACAGTATATACTGTATTTTTGATCAAATAAATGCAGCCTTGGTGAGCATACACAATAACAACCCCAAACTTTTGAACAGCAGTGTATCTTTCAGAGATGCACTATGACCCCTTGACCTTCTATAGAACAATGCAAAACAACACCGCTCCACTCCATCTGTTAGCTGTCTGGACTGTAATTCAACACACACTTACATGCATTCAAACACAAACACACACACACACACAGACAGAAGCATGTATACACATTGAGAGTCCATCTGCTCAGACAACATCTGCCCATTCAAGCCCTTCAGCACAGAAAGGTCTCTCTCTCTCTCTCTCTCTCTCTCTGAGAGTGGGTGCTTATCTATGTGTGGAAGAAAAAGTGGAATGCAATCTCGTCTATTCATAAACAGTGTGATGTTCTCAGTCAGGGCATCAGACATGCACACACACACACACACACACACACACACACACACACACACACACACACACACACAGAGACACACACACTTTAACACAGGCACTCAAAGCAAGAAAAAAAGCCCTCTCTGCTGAGTTCCACTACTGTCAGATGACATCATCAAAAAGCATTGTGTGTGTGAGAGTGTGTGCAATGCGCTCTTCTGATCTGAGGCCCTGAGGCTGACAAGAATAAAATACCTATTCTGTGGACTGGCACAAAGGACTTCAGGTTGAAACGATCCTCAACAGCTGTCTGAGTCCTTCTCCTGTCATATGAACCCTTAGTACCAGATGTCACACTGAAGACACTGACCATCACACATGAACACACACAATCCACATAACAAGTATCTTACATTAACACTCATCGAGCACCATATAAAAGTAAAAAGTCACTATGGTGAATAAATAAAACAGATTTACTTGAAGTTGGCTGGTAATTTTAAAAAGAATTACAACATAATACAGGGTTTAAATTAAATAATCTACCAAGTAAAACATCTGTATTGACTTGTGTCTTTTCTAAGTTTTACATCAAATATTCAATTTTTGTAATCTTTACATACTCTAATTTAAAGTTGCAAATATTTTTTATTTATTTTAGAATTTAAAACATTGAAATAAACAAATATTATGTTGTAATAAAAAGTATCTTATGCTCACCAAGGCTGCATTTATTTTTATTACATTATATTTATATTATTTTTTTGTGGAAAAATAATTTATTACTTCTGATGAATAAAAAGATCAAAGAACAACATTTATATATATAAAAAAAAACAATACAATATAATATAAAAGGTCTTTGTCACTTCTGATCAATTGAATGTGTCCTTGATGAATTATTATGTTTAATGGGTTAATTATGTTATAATAATTATACAATAATAATGTTTGTAACAAATAATAATAATAATAATAATAATAAAGTAAGAAAAGGACACATTGTCACTGACCATTAACTGGTACTTTTCAATCCATTCAAAATCAAGGATCATTATGCATTAACCATAATGCATAAATGTGCTTCACGAACACTAACATCACACATTACATGCTGCAGAGCTCCTTCACCTCACACACACTGGCCATCTGGCCTGGTAGGTAGAGCAGGAACCCCCTTCCCTACTGTGTCTCGTCTCTGATACAGCCTCAAATTGATTAGTGTCTCCTATTTCCTTCCCCTTTTGGCTCTAATTTTCAATTAGCAGGAGAATCAGTCTGAATAATGACCTTGAATGCTATTGGAACAAATCTGGGGTGTGCTTACAGATCTGCTTCTCCTGTTTTATTTGGACCTTTGTTATCCATCTGTTCTTTCCTTGAGCCAGTATGGCAGTGATCCAACTGTGGGTAAGTAAAGACTTGGCTTTTATTTTAAAAGGAAGTTGTCATGATTATAAATAAACTCTTATAATGCAGCAGTTAATATCTATTAAAAAATCAGTTCTGCCTTGATTTTTTTTTTTAATGGAAAAATAAATAAATAAAATATACAAACAATTAAGTTAGGGTCATGATGCAGTTGTTAAAATGTGTGTTCTTAACAAGTTGGAGCTCACATAATCACATGGGTTTGTGTTCCTGTAGATCAACCTGCAAAGTACATGTAAGGTGCTAACGGCACCATAGTCATGAGTTCGATTCTCAGGCATATTCTGATAAAATGTCCAAATCCTCCCTTTTTACCATACTGTTCTATCTAACAAAAAGGCAAAAAAACTCCAAAGTAAAAATTTTACAATTAACTTTTAGTATCAGCTTTTAGAAATGCAAAGAATATAGATGTTCCCATTCAATAAAATGAGAGCAAATGCACCATAGTCTCACTTTTAATTTTCTCTCTCATCTGTGCTGTTTTAACATACTTTCTCTCCAGGATCAGACAACTTGAGCAGTTCTGCAAAGAAGAGTGGGCAAATATTGCAGTCTAGATGTGCAAAGTATGTGTCTGTCTTCATTTTAGGCTGCAAAGAAACAAAATGTGATTATTTTAAAGGGGGGTGATTTTTTTCTATACCTACTGTATGTACAGTATATTACCCCTCTTATTGTGGTCCATACCACTCCATTTGTACAGGTGGAATCATAGAGAGCCGTCTTTCCTTGTTGACCGTGAGTGAACCAGAGAAGTCAAATGGTTGGAAAGGAGACACTGTCTTTTTCAAGTCTTTTGGCTCTTTGTAGCGCTTAATAGACTCTCTCTTTCCGCAAACAATCCTCCAGTGTAATAACGGCAAATGAATCTATAACTCAAGACCTCTGTAATTGATCCCTGAAGTTCTCTGGCTGTCTCTCCTCACTCGATCTTTCGATCAAGGTGGCATGCTCTTGGAGAAGGACATTCCTAGAGATTTCATAAGAATGCATTGGGTTTCAGCAGTGACTGGTTGAATCCTGGGGTAATGGAGAGTTTGGTAAGGAAGCCGGTGTTTACAAGGAGATGTTGGCTCAGAATATATGCTACTTTGTATTAGTAACAGTTTTAATAATTCTGAGAAAACTAGCATTTGATGCCTTGGCTATGTGATTAGCCTGAAGAACTTATAAGCAGTGGCCATTTTATTTTGGCTATGTCAGATATCTCCTCTCCCA